ATTTTATTGTTTTAAAATGAAAAAAAGTATACATAAGTATATATATTTAATTTGATTTTTATAAATTTATTTAGATTATTTTCCTTTTTTAATAACATTATCTTCTAATTTTTAGTTTTTATTATTTTAGAAAGAAAAACAAAAATATATGCTTTATTTTGGAACGAATTTCCGTCATCACTCGTCAAGTTTGGTTTGGATACAAACTGGTTTCGGCGTTGTGCCATCTTCAGGGTCATTTTTCGTTCTCGAACGAAACAGGTCTGTCTCCAAACAAAGCTTGAAGGAAATTCGTTCCAAAATTAATCAATTTACCACCCAGTCGGAAAAAATATATATTTGTTTTTAATTGCTTTAATTTTTAGTAAACTTAATAACGCTAAGACCGCCTCGCTAACAGATCTCTCAATCAGGCTCTCGAAAAAAAACGTTCAAGATAGTTACCACAATTGCCCTGTTATAATGTAGAAAAATTTGAATTTCTCCTAACTCACACTCTAGAATCGGGACGGTGCGCGACCCAAAGACTGGCTTGCTAACCGCTGATTTCAGCAACGAGATGCGCATGTGGTCTTTTGAATCCATTTGCTATGTGGCGCTAAATTCACGTCTACACCTTATCACCGGCAAAGCAGATGCCGATGCGATGCGTATGTCCAGCACCACGGCGGAATTCATGCAGGCCACCTATGAGCACGATATCGCACCATCGATTTGGCGAATCATAAAGACGCCCAGTTTTAAACGACTTATGCGCTTGCATGACGACTTGACAATGATCACCAGGAAATTAATTGATAAGGCGCTGGAGCGCATCGAAGCGGAGGGGAGAAAGGAGGCGGTAAGTGTATTGGAAAAGCTTTTGCGCGTCGATAAGAATATAGCTGTAGTGATGGTAATTGATATGCTGTTCGGCGGCTTGGATACGGTAATAAAATGTTTATTTGTACCAAAAAAAAAAAATTATGTAAATATTTACGTTTTATTCAATTTACAGACATCTTCCACAGTCATAATTGCCATTTTTTTACTTGCGAAAAATCCGGAAAAACAGAATATATTGCGAGAAGAATTGCGTACACTCCTCCCAAATGTCGATACTCCGCTGGTGGCACAGAATTTACAAAATATACCCTATTTGCGTGCTTGCATCAAAGAATCGATGCGCATAACGCCAATCATAAGTGGCACAATGCGTGCAACTGGTCGCGATTTGGTACTTTCTGGTTATAGAGTGCCAAAAGACACTGGCGTACATATGAGAAATATGGAATTGTGCAACTCGGATACGTTCTTTGCACGTTGTAGTGAATACCTGCCTGAGCGTTGGTTGAAAACACCGAAAAATGTGTCGAGTGCAAACGATGCAGCCAAGATGCAGAATCCATTCGTTTATTTGCCTTTCGGTTTCGGTCCACGCACTTGCGTCGGTAGGCGTTTGGCTGATTTGGAAATGGAAGTCTTGTTGGCACGTTTGTTCCGCAAATATAAGATTACTTGGACTGATGAGAAAAATGATTTGGAATATAAAAGCAATTTGATTCTGACGCCATGTGGGGAAATGAAATTCAAATTTGAAGAGGTTGATTAGGATATGTGAAAGTTATACGTATACTTGCGGTTAGATTTCGATGATTATAGATCTTTAGTTATATATACAAATAATAAAAATATTTAAATTATAACTGAGTTGTTTTATTGGAAAGCAATTATTTAAAACATTGCGGATAAATACGAGTATAAGTATGTATGTACATCTTTAATCTCTGTCATCTGGTCTCTTTGAGGAGGCGATACACTTAGCCCAATTAGCCTTTGTCGTACTATTCGAACGGCTAATTTCGTAACTGTCTGGCAGCGCTTAGGTTGCCAGATAGTCGAAGAACTAAGTGGAGCTGTGGACATTAATAAAGATGGAATGAACAGCTTTTTCTCTTATCGAAGTTAGAACAGATTGGTCGAGTTAGCATCTTTTGATCCAAAAGTATTATGTAAGCCATAATTTACTATTCCTTCAAATTTGGTTGCCATACTATTTCCTAATATGGCTCTATGATGTGACGGCCGGACTATATATGTATGTAGGTAGCAAACTCAGTAGCTAGCCAATTAAAGTTGTAAATTTTCTACAAAAAAGAATACTTATAGCTCAGTTAGGCTTACTTTGTACTGTACTACATAGCATGTCATTTTTGCATAAAAATAAAAAACCACTTCTACATATGCAAGGCTGTGCGTTGGGTAACCGCTTACACGCAAAGCTCATCTAACACATACACATGCATAACTAAGTCATTAAATAAAGCTAAAAATAAACATTAGATACCCGACGCAAGTATTAAATATAGTGTTTTTCACCTTTCCGAAAACTACCGCTACATTTTATGCCTATTTCAAATATCTTCGATAAACTTGATAAACTTATGTAATTATATGTGGGCGGTATCAAGCCCATTTTCCAAAATTTCATAATAATGTTACTTCTTTTCAAGTTTCCAGTTGAAACTATAAGTAATTATTTACTGGATTAGTAATTTTTTGGAACTTACTGACAACTTTAGAAATTAAAAAATATCTCTTCATTGTAAACTAGCAGACCCGGCGAACTTCGTACCTCCAAAAATAGTTTTTTTTTATTGAAAGATTTTGGTCCATGTTTTTTCTGGTTTCTTTTCAAGCCTGAGGTCAAGTTTTTATTTTTGTTTTACGAGTGTCCGATATTTCGGCTCTCAAGGAAAGCCATCTTCAGGCACTCTAAATACAAAAACACTTAGAATACAACAAATTTCAACAAAAAGGCAAATCGACTTACATTAAAAGAAAAACTTAAAAACAAAACTAACATAAAGCACAAGATCCAAGATTTTCTCCACAATTCACGGTCACGATTTATATGCTCATATTATGGTTTGGTGGTCGGAAGGTATACTTCCAAGGCAGTCTAAAATAAGACAACGAAAGTGTTATGTCCGCGAAAAAGTTCTTGGAATTTCCCCCAATGATCTGGCGTTTCACATCACGGTAAATCGCACAGCGAAATAAATTTGAAGAATTTTTTCCTCTTCACTCCCTGGCGGCATCAATCATCCGGTTCAATGTTATAATTGAATAAATAAACAAAAATAAATGNTGGTGGTCGGAAGGTATACTTCCAAGGCAGTCTAAAATAAGACAACGAAATTGTAATGACCGCGAAAAAGTTCTTGGAATTTCCCCCAATGATCTGGCGTTTCACATCACGGTAAATCGCACAGCGAAATAAATTTGAAGAATTTTTTCCTCTTCACTCCCTGGCGGCATCAATCATCCGGTTCAATGTTATAATTGAATAAATAAACAAAAATAAATGAAGATTCTATTGGCCGTGAGACTGGAACCTACCACCTCGCGGATCGTAAATCCGCATTGCTGCCGTATGTCAAGGCACAATTTTCATTAGATCAATTGTGCTGTTAATCCGGATCAAGGTTGCCCTCTACGCTTTAAGGGAGAATCTCGAAAACTACTCAACGGATTTGGACGAGATTTTCTCTAATATGTTCTGTATCAACAGGAGAGTGACCTTTGGCATTTTTAATTACTACAGCGTTGCCACCTGTCTAAAAATTATAAGATCCGCACCGTAAATTGGATTACAAGAAATTAGGTGTCAAATGAAACGGTTTGGCCTCTAGATAAGCATACATGTTTTTTTTTTTTTTAAATAGGGTTTCCAACTGTTAAGAAAATTACTATATTCAATCTTAATAAGCGCAGATATCAGCTCTGCACCGTCACGGTCAAAGTCTTTTCAGACTTAGCCTCTGGATGTGCGATAATGTATCATTTTTTTCTAGTAGGGTTGCCACATTTTTACGAACGATAAGATCTTCACCATTCATTGAACTTAAAATGAGGTGCCAAGTAAAACAATGTGGTTTCCAGATGTGCAATAAGCTTTTACTTTTTTTGAGTGGCATCTTTTGTTAATGACATCAGATTTGAACAGTTCATTAATTATAAAAAACAAGGTGTCCAGCCAAAGAGCTTCACCTCCAGATGTTCAATAAACGCACCACTATGAAAAATTTTTATTTTAACATAAAACGCACTACTATGAAAAAATATTTGTTTTTATTTCTTTAAATAACATAATTTAAATAATTAAAATGATGCCCATATCTTATTACATTTAACGAGTGATTCTTGCATATAAATATATATATATATCCATAGGTTTCTTGGAAACTGCTCTAACAATTTGGATGAAATTTTGTATACAGATAATTTTTTGCATCTTTGGTTATCTAGATAGATTGTTGCCGATTGTGAGATATGTATGTATGTATATGCATTAGCCTAAGTGCCACCAGGTTGACCGATTCATCGTAAAAATGAAACTCCTAATTATAAGCGACCTGAAGATCGCCCTAACCTGAAAGGTGTTGCGGTTAAACCCCAATCACAGCTTTCAAGGTCGCATGAAAGACAACGGTATTAGTTAAGTAGATCAAACAGCTTTTATGGGGAAAAATTAACAGTAAAGAGTAAATTCTCGATATTAAATGTTCATGTTATTTGCAAGATAAACATTTATAATGAGGAAAATGGAATCCCCTAATCGACAGACATAACAAATTGGGTCACACTAGCAACCTGCTCTCATGAACTTTGGTTACAAATAACTCTACCAAATAGTATGTATTACGATAGTCTCAAAATTCACTCTTAAAGATTCATGCAGGCGCTCTTACGTTCAGATACAAAGTAAAGAATTCACTGCCAAAAAAATGTATTGTGCAGCAATTTAATGCACTCACAATCCTTCATTTCTCATTCTGTTTCTCCATTATGCCCAGTTTACTTTCTTTAGTTATATATGTTGTACATATGTACTAAGTACACAACTTTTACTTAAGGTTTTACGCTGAATGCCGCAAGAGTTCAGTGTGGCTGGTACCACCGGCAGACGCGCATCAATTTAGCTGAACATCGTTTTGCAGTGCCGACGAACAATACAAGGCGTGTGCGCGATACCCAACTGATCTAAAGAAAGGAAAAAAACGAACAAAATATTTTAAATAAATATTTTTATAAATAGAACGAAATAAAAAAAA